TTATTTATTATAGGTTTTAAATTTAATTAATATTAATTTTAATAAAAAATAATAATATAACTGTTGTAGTTTTAATTAATTTTAATTATTAAACATTTTAAAATTAATTATTTTAAATTTTTATAATTATTTATAACTACAAAGATGACTATCTCCTTATATAAATACTAAGAATAAAAATAGGAGTTAAATATATAGAACATGATTTTCTTTTCTTTTTCTCAATATTTTCTAGATTAAGAACTTGTTACTTCTGACTTTTTTATACTCAATCTAATACTAGAAGATTCTATTGTATTTTGTGACTTGCATATGAGCATGTGTCATTGGAAATATGCTTTTCACTTGGATTCTAAACCTCCTTTTTGGATAATTCTACCCTCACTAGAAAGTTAACATTTAAACTTATAACTCTTATGAATACTACGAAACTTAATTTGGTACCAAACGTTCATGTTGTTGTTCCATGTCACCATGTGCTTCTCTCTATCAATTGATTTTATTTTCGGGAACAAAATTTCTTAAAGAGAAAGAATTATAACATCTTAAATTTTCTAAAAATATTAAAAGGATATTTTAATTAAATAGATAAGTTTTATAATTATATTAAATATTTCTTTAAAATAATTATGATTATTTTTCTTAATTAAAGAAAAATTTGTGAAATTGTTTGTTATATTAATTATTAGAGATATAAATATATTTTATTTGTTTTAACTTATTTTGATTATATATTATGATTTTTATTAATTGAGATATTTTATGGATAAAAATGTTTTTAGATAAGGAAATTAAAGATTTCAAAATTATTTTATTTAAAAATGTATTATCTTGTAACACCCAAATTTTTATTATTATTTTTGTTAATGGCAGTTCTATAGATTTATAGATGTGACACAAGAACAACGCAAGGCACACAAACTCAAGACAGTAAAAGGAAATACATGTAGGAACATTTTAGACACATTTTAACATGATTTGAACCAAACAAAACAAGACAAGAAAGCTTAAGAACGAATTTACCAAGGAGACCTAGCTCTTGATACCAAATGATGGAAACTTGTTTGGAGAATCCGGATTGATGTGAATCCTCTTCAAGTTCCTCCCTAGACCTTCGGCTCCTTGATTCTTCCTAAGCTTTGCTAAGGTCTCCAATGGAGGAGGAGACCTTAGAACCACCACGGTTTGGTGGAGAACTCTCCCAAGAGGCGCCACTCCTTGATGAAGAGATAAGCCTCTTCAATTCTCACCACACTCTTCTAGTGAAGGGATAAGAGAATTGGATGAATATCAAAGAG